TGTTCTCAATCAAAATATATACCATACATGTAACGAGTAGAGTATGCAAGTATACAAGACCTACACATAGATACACACTACTTTACATATACACAATGAGTATAAACTTTAATACTACACTGTACAAATGTATTAAATGATGTAAAATAAAATGAAAAGTAAAGTAGCACATAAAATTCAATAACAAATACATGTAACTAGAGTTGAAACTTGAACTGGTTTATCCTTTGTGTGTGTATCAGTGTATATGTATGTGTATGTATGCATTGTTTGTGTTGGTATGAATATTCTAATCACAGTGTTCATACACACATGCATTGATATATTGGCACATAGTGATTACATATATATGTGGGGGTGTGAGTGTGATGGAGACAGCCATGAAAAAATAGAGACACATAGATACAAAGTATATTTCTCTGGATTTCTTTTTTCAATCTAAAAAAATATTGATGAACAGTAGGCACTCACTTTGTAATTTTACATCAAGTGAAATGAAAATGAATACTGTAACCAGTTGGATTAGTCTGTGGATTTACAAAACAAAAACAAAAAAAAGAAAGAGAAAAAACGATAAACAGAATTAATAATCATGGAAACAAACTATTATTACTTTATAAGCAAAGATGGATAGTGGCTAGCAGTGGAATCCAGGACGCACGTGTCGTCCTGTTTGGGACTCGTCAGCTGGACGTACCTGCATCTCAGAGTTGATGTTCACTCACGACTCAGTAGCTAAGTGGATAACGCGATGGCGTTTGAAGCAAACGGTACTGAGTTCGAGTCCCAGAGTGAACATCAACTCTGAGATGCAGGTACATCCAGCTGACGAGTCCCAAACAGGACGAAACGTGCGTCCTGGATTCCACTGCTAGCCACTATCCATCTTTGCTTATAATGCTTGTAAATTAAGGCAATATCGAGGCATACGCACAGTATGCACATATGCTAATAAGAGACTGATCAATTTCAGTCCAAAAACATCAATGGGAAGATTCAAGTGAAACAATATCAAGTGTATTACTACTTTAATTTCACTAACTATGAATTAAAGATTCCTCAACAATTCAATTCTGAATATCCGCACATAATGGGGATGCTATAAATAATGTGAATGAGAATCACTGAGTATCTGAACTTAGTAGCTTATTGAATAATCATTTATATATTCTGATAATAATAATAATTACAGAATTCACGTCAGTTTACAGGCATGATCAATTTGATATAAAGAGGAACATTAGATGTAAAGAACAAACATGTGATAGAAGAACGTTTTAAGTATACTAGTTCAGTAATTGTTGAGGTAGTAGTACATGTATTATACAGCGATCCAATGCATCAGACGGGAATTTTTAATATTTCTGTTGATTTATGAACAGTGTTATATTAAGATCATTTCCTGTGCCAGATCGAATTAATGATAATTATCTACAACTAGAGAAAGTAAGATGGAAACAGAGAACACGGAACAACAAAGCAATAATGGCCAAACTATGTCAATCAGGTCTACCAAAATGCGTGTGTCATGTGACACAGTGATACATTGTTGATGTTATTCAAATTAGTTAAACTTGTTAGGGACGGTGTTAACATAATGTGACTGAAAGTAGGTGGTTTTGCTTAGAGAATGCACTAATAGAGATGACTAAACATTTAAAGTTCCTATAATATCACTTGTGGAATGAAATATAGTCAGCATGCTTAGAGGCTCTATATTGACAGGTTTTTTCAATAGGTCGGTTATAAGAGGGATAGATAGGGAAAGCGCAAACTACTATCTTATATCAGAAGGGGTTTGTGGAGATTTTTAGAAACTCTCACAGATTGAAATCATGAGTCAGTTGAAACTAGACCACCACTGAAAACCTGGAAGCACTGGATGGCCGTTTCGTCCTAGTATGGGACGCCTCAGCCCCGCGAGATGCGGGATCGTGGGTGCGCACTGCTGAGGAGTCTCATACTGGGACGAAACGGCCGTCCAGTATTATCTTATAGTCACTGCTTTCAAATTCATCGTATACTTTTACAGATAGTGGGATAACATTTCTACTAAATATTAGATCAAGTATACTATCGCCTCTAGTTGGGGTACGAACCCACTGTGACAAGCAGTGCATTGTACTGATTGCGCAAAACTCATCATTACATGACTGACAACTACCGGTACTCTAGTTAATTCCAGGATAATTGAAAGCCCCAGCGATAACCTTAGCATTAAAGTTGAGAGAAGATGCATGTATGAATGCATTGATTATAAGATCATTCCCATTATTCGAACTATCAGGAGCTCTGTATATACATCCAAGGAGTAGACCATGATTCAGGGTGTTGACTGATGTCCAGACTGATTCTGGTAAACTATTCAGGACAGAGTCGATAGTTCTGGATATTTAATTCTGAATCAGATACTGCTTGAGAGCACCATGTTTCAGTGATAAGTATGAAAGGTTTGGCTAGAAAAGCTAATGTTCTCAAGGCTGAAATTTTGTTCAGAAGTGAACGTGCATTGATAAGTAATAAGTTTAAAAAGGGAGTACGGAGTGTAAAAAAGCTGAGAGCTTCCCTATTGATGTTGTGTATTTTGGATTTGCATAGACTGTGATTTATTATGTTTGACTGATCATATGGGCTATCGCTTGAACATACTTTAGTGCTAGTGGGACCAGGGATTTCTGAAGGCCAAAATCATTATTTTGATAAAGTGGATTAATTTTCTGAACTTGACTAGGCGGACAGTTAAGAGAAGCACCTGCTAGTTGGGGTTGGGTTGATGGTGAGTAACTTAGTAGTCCATCTTTCCCAATGGGAAAGTGCTGAGAAAAGTTACGTCTTATTTAAAACGTTTGAGGGTAACCGTGAGGCACGCTGGCTCACTATGATCTGTCCAATATTAGACCTGCTTACGTAATGATAAGTCAGGATTGAAAGTGAAAAGCACTGAGCTCGAGTTCTAATGTGAACATTTATACCGAGTTCTACGTAGATTGCAACTGACCAGTCCCAAATAAAATGAAAAGTATATATTGTATTCTACCTATTGTACCTACCTTAATTCATCCATCCTACTTCTAGTGGATGCATAGAAATAATTATTTCAAGTATAAATAATTCACAAATTATGTAAGGTATATATAGTTTGAATGCAGTTTACACAATCTCATATTAGTGTATTATAGATTAGAATATTGCTATTTCTAAATTATGCCTTAATGTTGGATAAATACATCTTGTGATGGTGGGGAAGATTTATAGCTCAGGTGGATGATTTTAATGCAGTTTTGTTCTCTGAGCTGTATGGTCGTTCAGAACGATGAAAGCTCCACGACCAAACCATCCAGCTGAGAGAACAAAACTCCATCAAAAAAAGAAAACATCTTGTATTTAAGAGGATGAGTTAAATTAATTTTATAGTATTGGATTTCTAGAAATAGTTGAATTTGTAATTCATTTTTTATGGTTATGACATAGATATCATTCATTTGATGTTGCGAGATGATTACGGTAAGGAATTATGCAAAATCATTTAATTTCAACTTAACCATCTTAAGATACTTTATACAGAACGAAATACGAAAATCTCAAAAATAGAGACTGATACGTCCTGGGTTCGAATCCCACGAGGCGGAGTCGTGGATGCGCACTGCTGAGGAGTTCCGCAATAGGACGAAGCAGCTCTCAAATGCTTCCAGGTTTTCCATGGTGGTCTAGCTTCAATTGACTCATGATCTCACCTGTTGAAATTACTACAATCTCCACAAAACTCCTGATACAAATAGAGTATGATTGAAGATTATTACTGTGTTATAAGCTAGAACTGGTTAACATCATTTTGTAATGAAGAAATAAAACTAACATTTAGACTATTCAGTGGTAAATAAGAAACATAATATTCAATGTTTTATTGCACTAAATAAGTTAAAGTTGAATATACATATAGACACTATCGAAATGTTAATAGGAAAGATTAAGTCTACATAGTGTACGGTTTGACGTTGGATGCTAGTAGGAAATTACGTATCCAGTGACGGTGCAAACACTTCTCTTATGAAATACAGTGAGCTAATCAGAAATCTTCAAATGATAACTACATGTGATTGGCGGTAATTCATGAGAAGTCGGTCACGGAAAGCCTATATATGATCGGTCTCACGATGTTGTCACGTGGACTCAGTAATTGTACTCCTGGTTTGTCAAGATCACTCATAACCCAGTTTCCTTTACAGGTACCTAGACAAGAATAATCTTCCCACGATATGGAAGACAACGAAGCAAAAACACCTACACAACTGTAACAGCACTCGAGCTAATCTAGCCTACAATGACTGGGTGATACGATTCTGAATTATCAAATTCATTGAGTAATAAACGTAAAGTCTGAGACAAGTGTGCATCAATTCAGGTATTTATGCTACATGAGCACGACGATGAGAAAATAACAAGATGAATAGTGAAGAAGTGGAGCTAATGTAGTAGCAGTGATAAACAGAAGTACTAAAACTTGGGAATATAGTTTTAGAAAACGAAATGAAAAGGTATATATGAAGGAATGATGTAAATGAAAATAAAAAGTGAATGTTGTAGTTGATTTCCAGTTATTATCACCTGTCTCTAACCATTGGTCACGATTGTTACCAGTAAGAGTGGTTATTTTTTGGTCTTTAACCGAGTAGTTCACATCTACAAACATAGGTCTGATCAACAATCAATGACCTTATAGATTGATCCCATGTTTTAGTCTGAGCCTCTAACTGTCTTTCCACCTAATCCTAACACCAGCTAGCTAATAACGCGCATCGAGGTGGATAAGAGTTGGATATATGTAACATATTTTTAAACCATCTCAATTGTAGAGCTTAAAGAAAGATGTCCGGTAATACTGTTAAGAATAGGAAATTGATGAGAGAATCGTTATACAATAAATACAATTTACATACACAGTTCAATATGGAACTTACTAGATCAAATAGAAGGTAAAGCGGACATTATCATCATCACCATCACGTATCATGAATTGATTCTTTATAAGAATTTGTTGTAAAAAACTTTTGTTTCATTATTTTCCTACCTGTAGGACTAATTATAGGTGATATGGGAGAATTGCAATGTTTAATAAATGTATCTTCTTCATTCTCTCCCAATGGATTTAATTGACCAGTTTCATTAGAAGTGATTAACAATGAGCTAGTAGGATAATAGTTTTGTGATGGATGAAATTCAGATGAAGAAGTAGTAATAGTACTTTGATTATTATTATTAATAAAAGGAGTAGTAGTTGCTGTATTAGGAGTAATAAACATACGTCGGAAATGATGTGCACGATAATTACTGAGATCAGCTGCTTCCTCGGATTCACCAGGATTTAATAATAAAGGATTAGAAAATAGTAAATCATTCTTTGATATGTCGTCTAAATATTTCGGACTACTATTATCTGATGATGAGATAACAGTAAAGGGCAGTCTGGAATAATGAAGACGTGCTTCATGATCAAGAAATCCACCACCACCACCACTAACACCACAACTACCAATATTTCCATCATACGTTTTTCGAATAAATAATCGACGAAATGGTTCTACAATACCTGCCGTACTAAAACGAGTTTTTGATTGACGATAAACACGATTTGGTCGTTGTTTTATATAAACTGGATTACGAAAATCTGTAAGACCAGTCATTAAACGATTCCAAATACCAATGTTATCGATTGGATTACTGTGTGAAATGCCACTTTTTAGATTATACTTAGACATTTCAACAGTACTCATTATCAATTTCGACTTGTCACTATCACCAGTGTTAGGTGCACCCATTCCACATGTGAATTGATCAAAATCCGCTGTAGTTTTATGAGATTGACCTGATGGTGAACTACGCCTTAGTCGAGTTTCACCGCCATAAATATTGGCACCATGTGTTGATTCATATGTATCAGTGATAATTTTTGAATGACTCAATTCAGGTGATGTCCGCTTTTCTGGTATAAAAATAGCTACTAGAATTGCTAACAGAACTAGAATAGCACCAAAAGCAAATGGTGGTCCTGGTATTAAACGCTTGAAGAAAGAAAAGTGTTGAAATGAAGAAAAAAAAAGATAACATATGTGTAAATAAAAACACTAATGAATAACACAACAATGATAAATTTATTGTTATTGATGTTTGAGACATGATTAAATGACTGAAGTTTGTACTGAAAATTGAGTAAATTACTTGACAATTGATTATGTAATTCATTTTCATTAATGTATGGTATATTACATAATGATTATATTACAAATCAAGTATTCCAGCTTTTATATTCATTTAAACCTTTACTGGATAAATGTACATAAAAACAATATACAGAGATTGTATTAATTAAATCAGAGATTATGACAACTACAAGGTATATCAATCTACAAAAGTAGTGTTCTCAAATGAACACTTCTCACGGCTTGAACTAGAAGATTTAATTTACGAACATTGATGATTATTTATTTAGTCTTGGTTTGAAACACTAACATAGGATATACAAAGTACATGTGATGAGTAGAACGTTTTTCGCATAGATACGTTAAAAATACTATAATACTTGAGGGTATTTTTTCATTTATTTTATTTGAACACATAAATATTGGTACAAAAAGGAACCGAATAGATATGCGCCACACAGATTTCATTTGATATGTGTGAGGGCTGTGATACTGCCCAGGTGCAGAAACCGAATCAGGTGGTTTTCTTAAGGGGCCACAGCCGGAGCCTTCGACCTGAAGGTCCGATTCACAAGGCAATGGAACAACGTTGGGAGATGCAGTTCCATAGTAGACGGTGAGCAACGATTGGTTCATACACCATTTGTTCCCGCACGATACTGGAGCTCATGTGCACCATTGGTTTGAAATCATGGTTTTCCAACTCCCCTAGGTGGACTCTCCATATCCACCAACCCAGTTAAAGCGCCGGACATTTGCTATTCGTCCTCTGAATTTCGTAAACAACACTCGTTGTGCGAGAAGGCAATGAGTAGGACTTTCCTGGCAGTGACTGTATACGCATGGCCATGTGACAGTATTTGAAGAGGGAGAGCGGACTCTCACTACCCTCGGCCATACTAGGGCATTCGGGAGCAAACCAACCTTGATCGCACTAGCAATTACGATTTGATAGTTTAATCATGAACCCATGATACAAAATATTCACAGTTGTTGTTTCTTTTTTAAGAAGATATTCACAAATTGATGTTGATTCATCAGAAGAATTAACATTTAAACTTTAATAGATGAATCATTACAAGATCATTCGATCATATGAAAGATCTTTATAAAAGATAACTAGTTGTGAAGTTGCTTAAGAGGACGTCAGTTTATGTTATTGCATTGTAAAATAAAAAGAACAATGTACAGGACTAGGAACTATTGACTCATCACAAGCCCTTGGTTATAATCTCTTAGTCTTGAACGATAAGAATGCATCAGCAAATGACATTGTAGTTTATCAGTGTAGGGTTGTGGAGATTGTTAAGTTATTGATTGAGATCATGAAACGATTGATGTTAGACCACCTTTGAAAACGTGGAAGCACTGGACGACCGTTTCGTCCTATTGTGGGACTCCTCAGCAGTGCGCATCTACAATCCCGCTCGCGGGATCCGACTAACTTCGTGAGAGATTCCTCGGAGTTCTAGTGAGAAGACGTGACCATTTGAGCTAATCAGTGTCGGGTAGGCACAGGTATCTACGTCAGTACAATGGAAAATGGTCGAGCAATTTCGTGGATTAGTTGAGGTTAGAAATTAATACCGTTGGATGCCGTCCAGCTCAGTGGTCTAGGTTAAGCGTTCGCACGAGACCGAAGGCCCTGGGTTCGAATCCCGCGAGCAGGATCGTGGATGCGCACTGCTGAGGAGTCCCGCGATAGGATGAAAAGGTTGTCCAGAGCTTCTAGGTTTTCAATGGCGGTCTAACATCATTCGGTTCAAGATCTCAATCAATTTTAGTTTATCACTTAAATCTTAGTTTCCTCTCAGATTAGTTATTATTTTGTTTAACTACCAACTAAGAAAATTGTACGCTTATTATAAATGTAACTAACACTTTCATTGATTTATTGTATCTCATTTCTACTCAATGATTCGTATGGGTAGGTTTAAATTTCCTTTAACTTTCTAACTGATTAGATAATCTTACGTTTTTTGCACTGATTGTATAGAAGAAATAAATTTATATGGATTATCCTGACCAATCACCCAGAATAAAGACAGTGGTTATTGGTTATTTAAAATATAATGATGAATAGTTCGTCTAAAGCTAATATTTTGCTTTTTAGACAATAAAAACAAACATCATGAAGCTAAATAGAATTGAGACAACTTTGAACACTTCTTAGAATAATAATGTAAAATTTATTGATTTTTTTTTAGGTGAAAATACTAGAAATTGGAATTCTCGTGTGTTGTAAGGTAGATTGAAAGTTCTTGAGGTGGTGCCCAACTTTATGGAAGTACTAAACACACTTATATCCATTTATTTGTATACTGTAAGAAATAAATCTCATGAAAAGTTTCATTATTCATGTCTAGACTTTTTATTACTCATAATTTAATCGCATTTTTATTAGGAAATGCTTCATTACCATGACACATTTTTATTAGCTAGTTGTCAGTCGAAGTCAACGATGTCATTGAAAACTGGACTGAACCATATTGATAGATGTAGACCACCTAGTTGGAGTCTGCATGATTATCGTAATCAATGGTTAGAGGCTTTGAATGATATGGCTCGAATTGGTCTGGAATCATGCAGGTGAATCCATTCATTGTCTTCCTTTGAATTCTGAGCTTTAAAATTCTTAATTTTCTTTCAATAATTTATATTTTGTTTTAGAGCCATATCTTCGATGCCTAATTTTTCTTATTACCGCTGATACTATTACTACCTCTACTATTCTAAGATTTAAACAGCGATAATGGGGTACGAGAATTTGAACCGATCTATATACATATCATGCTCAATGATGTGATCGATTGACTGAGACTCGTACTGGATCCAACACAAAATGATTTATTTATATTGACACTATAACCACTAATGATATGAGTAATACAAATAAAAACTCTGCCTGTAGCTCTTCCAGAGTTATTGCCGGTCCCAAGCCCGGGTAAAGGAGGAGAGTTGGGCATGGCGTTAGCGTCCCCATCCCGTAGAAAACTAACTCGCTAAAAAAACGCTTACCAGAAAAAATTATTCAAACCATTTAAACTCTGCCCTGAAAGTTAGGTCTTCATTTACAAGAATTATGACGCTTCATGGTGAAAGCCGAATTCCTTCGGAAGCCACGAGGCCGATGCCCCTTCTAACAACCAGAACAAAAATTTTTATAGGTACATGGAACGTCCGAACAATGTGGGAGACCGGGAAGACCAGTCTAATAGCAACGGAAATGAGGAGATACAGCTTGGCAGTACTGGGAATCAGCGAAACCCACTGGACCCAAGCTGGACAGAAAAGGCTAGCTACGGGAGAGATGCTGCTATACTCCGGTCACGATGAGGAAAATGCTCCACACACTCGGGGAGTCGCTCTAATGCTGTCCAAAGTAGCACGAAATGCACTTGTAGGATGGGAATCTCACGGATCCAGATTCATCAAAGCACCATTCAAAACAAAGAAGGAGGGGATATTAATGAATATTATCCAATGTTATGCACCCACCAATGATAGCAACGACGACATTAAAGATCAATTCTACGAGCGGCTACAGTCAATCGTAGAGAAGTGCCCAAGAAACGACCTCACCATTCTGAGATCTAAACTCAAAAGTCGGAATAAACAACACCGGATATGAAGATATTATGGGACGACATGGACTGGGTGAGAGAAACGAAAATGGAGAAGGATTTGCGAATCTGTGTGCATTCAACAAATTGGTCATAGACGGCACAATATTTCCACACAAACGTAAACACAAAGCTACATGGATCTCACCGGACCACACTACAAAGAACCAGATAGATCATATCTGCATCAATAAAAAATTCTGAAGGACAATGGAAGATGTGAGAACCAGGAGAGGAGCTGACATAGCTTCAGATCACCATCTAGTTGTAGCCAATTTAAAACTGAAGCTAAAGAAGAACTGGACAAACAGCACTACAAAGGTTTACTAGAGCCTTCCTTCATGATACTAACAAACTCAATGAATTCAAGATAGCTCTCAACAACAGGTTCCAAGCTTTACAGAATCTACTGAAGGAAGAAGAAACTACTATGGAGGACAACTGGAAAAGTATCAAAGAAGCATTAACTTCAATGTGTCAAGAGGTTCTGGGTCTAAAGAAGCACCATCATAAGGAATGGATCTCTATAGAAACACTGGACAAGATCAAAAAAAGGAAGAACAAGAAGACAGCAATTAACAACAGCCGAACACGAACAGAGAAAGTCCAAGCACAAGCTGAATACATAGAAGCAAACAAGCAAGTGAAGAAGAGCATTAGAGCCGACAAGAAGAAATACGTGGAAGAACTAGCAACGACGGCGAAAGAGCTGCAAGGGAAGGAAATATGGAACAACTTTACGATACAACGAAGAAACTAGCAGGGAAATACAGTAAGCCAGAGAGATCGGTCAAAGACAAAGAAGTCAGGCCAATCACTGAAATTCAACAACAGCAGAACAGATGGGTAGAGTACTTCGAGGAACTCCTGAATAGGCCGGCTCCAATGAATCCACCGGACATCGAAGTAGCGCACACAGATCTTCCTATAGACGTCAATCCATCAACGACGGAAGAAATCAGAATGGCCGTCAGACAAATCAAGAGCTGGAATGCAGCACGACCCGACAACATGCCAGTTGAAGCACTGAAGTCAGACATCGAAGCAACCACAAGCATGCTTTATCTTCTATTCAAAAAGATTTGGGAGGAGGAACAAGTGCCGATGGACTGGAAAGAAGGACACCTCATCAAGATTCCAAAGAAAGGAGACCTGAGCAAATGTGAACACTACAGAGGCATCACACTACTGTCAGTACCAGGAAAAGTCTTTAACAGAGTTTTGCTGAACCGGATGAAAGATGCAGTAGACGCTCAACTTCGAGATCAACAAGCTGGATTCCGTAAGGACCGGTCGTGCACAGACCAAATTGTGACACTGCCGATCATTGTCGAACAATCAGTTGAGTGGAACTCATCACTGTACATCAACTTCATTGAGTATGAAAAGGCATTTGACAGTGCAGATAGGAGGACGTTATGGAAACTTCTTCGACACTACGGAGTTCCTGAGAAGATTGTCAATATTATCCGGAACTCATACGACGGACTACAGTGCAAGGTCGTGCATGGAGGACAGCTGACAGATGCATTCCAGGTAAGGACCGGAGTCAGACAAGGCTGTCTACTCTCCCCCTTCCTTTTTCTTCTGGTGGTTGACTGGATTATGAAGATCTCGACGTCTGAGGGAAAACGCGGAATACAATGGACAGCTCAGAATCAATTATACGATTTGGACTTCGTAGATGACCTGGCCCTCCTATCACGTACACACGAACAGATGCAGATGAAGACAGTTAGTGTAGCAGCAGTCTCTGCATCAGTAGGCCTCAGCATACACAAAGGGAAAACTAAGGTCCTCAAATTCAAAGAGGAAAACAGCAATCCAATCACTCTTGATGGCGAAACTCTGGAAGATGTAGAGTCCTTCACATACCTAGGAAGCATCATCGATGAACAAGGAGGCTCAGATGCAGACGTAAAGGTGAGGATTGGCAAAGCAAGGGTCGCATTCCTACAATTGAAAAACATATGGAACTCAAAACAACTTTCAACCAATATCAAAGTGAGAATCTTCAATACGAACGTCAAGGCAGTTCTACTGTATGGAGCTGAAACTTGGAGAACTACAACAACCACCATCAAGATGGTACAAGTATTTATAAATAGCTGTCTACGCAAGATACTCGACATCCATTGGCCGGATACCATCAGCAACAGCCTTTTGTGGGAGAGAACAAACCATCTTACAGTTGAAGAAGAAATTAGGAAAAGACGATGGAAATGGATAGGACATACATTACGCAAATCGTCAAACTGCATCACGAGACAAGCCCTAACTTGGAATCCTGAGGGAAGGCGGAAAAGAGGAAGGCCGAAGAACACATAACGTCGGGAAATAAAAGCAGATATGAAAAGGATGAATAACAACTGGAAGGAGCTGGAACGGATTGCCCAGGACAGGGTTGGATGGAGAATGCTGGTGAGCGGCCTATGCTCCTTCACGAGGAGTAACAGGCGTAAGTAAGTAATAATAATACCAATGATGATCATCTAAGAATTTAATTTTAATCATAACAATACTCACTTCTTGTAAAAGTTGTACAGTATCAGATACTAGGGAGTTACTCTTATCCTTGTTGATTATATGTACACCTGATGTATGTTCATTGAGATCAACCTGTGTAAAAAAAGAAAATTTAAGTATATACATATACGATAATATTTTCAATAGTGTATTTATTAGTCAATTGGTCATAGAAAATTAACAAGGATCTGTATTATGAATACATAAAACTGATATAAGTTATTGTTATCTGTAAGCGTAATTCAAAGAGTAAACTATCAAGATGAATAGTAGGCGATATAGAAATACCATTAAATGTTGATGAAAAAGGTTTACCCACGTATGGGTCAACCAACATAAACAGCGAATATGACAATATTTATTTGACAACAATTGTTCAGGCAAGAAATCTGTCTATGTAAAATCAAGTATACAACATTATAGCACTTGACTGTCAAGTTCAGAAAATCAGTACTGAATTGTTATATCCGAACGAAGAATAAATGAGTGGTAACTACTAGGGATTATTTATGGACAATTATTACATATATATTCTTATTGGATAATAATTAAGTAACTAGATTATATCTATATTCATATTCCTTTTATCATAAGCTTTCATTTGACCAATTGGCTACTGTTATACGATTTACCATCCTCAATTTATTCCCACTTTTGGCTTGATCTTGAATAATTGTTATTTTTCATTTTATGGTGTGAGATGGTCTGGCCTGCTTGTACATAAACCACGTGTGTCTGAAATATCCAAATCACACAGTGCAGGCTTATATTCGTGTTCTGGACTGAACGAACTGGATTAGGAGAGAAGCTACTATACATACAGAGGACCACTAAAGACTTCGAGTTGACATAAGGTTGTTAGTGCTCGTTGGTGTATCAGTGGTTCAGCACAGGGACAAGGTCATATAAGCCGGTGTTCTGATTGGAGATCCTGTCATGTGATAATTGATAGCGCCATAAGCCATGACATGAATATATATTGCAAAGTGAAAAATATAATTCATTTTATAATTTGCATCAAGGATTGATTTTAGTTAGACAACCATTGAGAATGAAGAAATACTGGACATCTCTTTCATTCTAATATGAGACAATTTGTTAATGTACGTCCATAACCCCAAAATGGATCGAGCAAAGGATTTCCGAGACTCGTGTCGAGCTTAATTAATTTGTCCACCAATCAGAATACGAATTATACAAGCTTAGCTCTATGCCAAACCAATGACGTTCAACCGATATGAGCAGTCTAGCGTCCTTATTGGTCCTATGTCCTGCTAACCCGTCCACTTAGGTCCAGAACACAATATCAGCTTTTGCAATATGAATCGAATCTTTTATTTCAAACATACTCGGTTTATAATATATCAACCAGACAGGCCACAACGTACCATAAAATAGAAAATAACATGTGTACAATATTTGGCCAAATGTGGCTGTGAACGTGGGGGGGGCAGTAGTTAATAAACTGAACACAACTTAACCGTAAATCGTACAATAATAAATTATAGATCGAAGTACAGTTTATAATAAGAAGAATATAAATATACATAATCTAATTGCTCAATAGTTATACCATAAGAATATATAGATAATATTAGTCCATTAATAGTCCATAATTTAATCTTCACTGGAATATAATAATTGATAGTGAATAACTGCACTTCAATCACATATCCAACTGATTATTGACTTCAAAAAATCGTCCATTTTTCAATAGTAAGTTGTATATCAATATAAACTGTAATACATGTAACAACATGTAATGGTTTACTGTGTTATAGTTTTACTTACTATTGTAAGTAAAACAAATTCAAAAATGTTTAACTATTCTAATTTTAGACAAATTGAAGAAAAATCTTATATGAACATTATTTTTGTCATCGTTGAAATCGACAAATGATATTCGCTAGACCATCATTGGAAATCTAACGATATTGGATAGATGTTTTGTTCTAGTGTACGACTACTATTCAGAAGTAAATACCCATGATTCTTTTTTTCTCAGTTAAACATAATTTTGTTTAGACACATACGCACACAGACAGACTGTTACCTAAACATTGTACTATTATTATTATTATTAATGTTAGTAGTATTATTGTATTTTTCTTGTGATAATGATGATTCTATTAACATTATCAAGTAGATATGATAATTGAAATCATGAACTGATTGATGTCAGATCACATTTGGAAACCCGGAAGCACTGGACGGTCGTTTCATCCTACTGTGGAACTCTCCTCAGCAGTGCGCATCCACGATCCCGCTCGCGCGAAAACGAAGGCTAAGGGTTCGAATCTCGCGAGCCGGATTGTGGATGCGCACTGCTGAGGAGTCCCACAATTGGACGTGACGGCCATCCAGTGCTTCCAGGTTTTCAATGGTGGTCTAACATCAATCGGCTCATGATCTCAATCAAAAACTTAATAATCTTCACAACCCCTATATTAGATATGATAATGTTTCATTGACTTAATTTCTAACAATTAATGGTTTATCTTGTTTATGCCCTTTTATTCGGAATCTTTACAGTTATTATTAGTGTATCACCACCACCACCAACAACAACAAAAAAATAAATGAATTATTTGTAAAAAATTTTACAATGTAAATGAATCAATAAGTTACAGAGGTGTATAAGTGGGTATGTGTTTGTGTCTGTAGATTGCTGCACATAAATTGGCATAGATACATACGACTACATACAATAATAAAAATAATAATGTGGACTAGAAGTCTATTAGATTTTATTAAAATAATTTTAATGTACATACAGATACAACACACACAGAAACAAACAGACATTGATACAAACTTGTCGTGAAATGTACATCAATTGATAAAACTTTTATCTGTCCAAAAGTAGACCGATTGAAAACAAAAAGAACAAAGAGTAAAAGTATTCGATGAGATGGGAAGGAATTTGTCAAAAGTTGATGACGTCATTTGTTTAAGGTAATTTGTATACATGCTAAATAATATTGTAATTAGGTTGGTTAATGCAAATCAGGGACTGTGTGGTAAAATAGTTCAAGGATGTGATAGATTCGAAATTTGGAATTATCATTAAAGAAGTCTTTGTATCAGATTAGTTTAGATCAACTAATTATGTCTATTGATTGCATGACCTAGTACGGCTGAGAGTTGGGAGAGTCAGCCCTGCCTCACGAAATGCTCTCACATGACCACGCGTATATAGCCTCTGCCAGGGAAGTCCTACTTATTGCCTTCTCGTGGCATTACTTTTGTTTACGAAATTGAGAGGACGAATAGTGAATGTCCGGCACCGGCTTTAACTGGGTTGGTGTATATGGAGAGTCCACCTAGGGGAGTTGGAAAACGATTATTCCAAAACAATGGTGCATATGTACTACAGTAACCTGAAGGAACAAACGGCCTATGAATCAGTTGTTGGTCACCGGCTACCATGGAACTGCATCTGCTTATGATGCTCCACTTTCATGTGGATCAGACCTTTAGGCCAAAGGCTCCGGGTGTGGCCCCCTAAGGAAATCGCCTGCTTCGGTTTGGGCACTCGGGCAGTATCACAGCCCTCACACGAACCAAATGAGATTTGTGTGGCGCATATGTATCTGGTGTCCCCTTGTAACAATATCCAAATGTTCAAATAAATAAATAAATACTAATAATCGCATGTATTTACGCTTTTATAATCTATTAAGAATCTAATTATACAAACAATCAAGAATAACACTAGTTTGTACACTTATCATTTGTAAGAACGAGAAGTGATTACCATAGAGTTCATATACCAAGTATATTCGGCAATGAAAAATGGTATCACGAAGACACGACTAATGATAAACATTATTTGTCCCAATTTTTTATGAGTAGATGAATAATACATTTAACTGATGAGTCTTAAATTCTACTGTTAATCAAAGTCCCCTTCTATTGTATTTGTTTGCTCAGTAAGAAGTTTGGAATTTTTGTATGTATATTTGCGAAATATGTTATCGGTCTGGAAACCCGGATAATATCACGGCCCACACACAAAATCAAATGACATGTGTGTATTCAGTGTCCCTATGTATCAATATTTATGTGTTCAAATAAATAAATATCATGTAATCCAGTATGTGTATGAAGTGAATCCTAAATTACCAACTTAATTCACATTTATATGTTAGCATATGCTCACTAGTGATTGGCTTCAAGAGGTATAACCTCAATACTCGTCATTCGGGTATTCCACGAAACGTAATGAATTCTTCGAAGGCACTCGTGATCTGCAGTCTATGTGCGTCTTCTTTCACAGATCGTGTTACACAACCACAGACTACATGAGAGCGGATTCCCGTGCAGTATACACACCCTTTGTTTGACAAACGAATATCTCGCCTTTACCACAAATGATGCAAGCTAGCAAATACCAAGCTTTCGGAATCCGTGAGGATATATATATACATATATATAAACCTTGATATACACATATTTATGTGAGAAAGTTAAAATTGACAAAAGAAAAATGTACACACATATATGTATGGTAACTGTAGACATTGTCCTTGACCTTGCAATTAAATGTATTTCGCTATTGTCTCTTCTTTTTTTCATGAAGTCTCTTATTTCGTGCATAACTTTTTCAACGAATATTTGACAAAACCACCCACATACATGTTATTAATTACTAAGCCGAAATTTTGCACAGAGATAAAAATATACACATTGGAATGATGTTTGCTAAGTACAGACGATTGATTCATAATGCTCTTGTTAATTCACACACAAACATACAAATAAAACAACCATATGATTGACATGAAAATGATTAGAGAACAAAGAATTAGTTTTAATTACTAATTTTATATGTGAGTTTATTCATCCGGTTTACCAATGTTGAATAAACATGCGGTAACCAGCACTTCAAGCTAATTTCCCGTTTGTTTAAGTTAGCATTGAACTTAAGAGCTAAATTTATCCATATATGCATGCTATAAACACGTCAGTGTAGTGCATTCGAACACTCCAGATGCAATGAAAATTCAGGGGGTGCTTGAAATTAAATGTTATATGAACATCATATTCTTTTGTACAGTAATCACCAATTCAATGAACGTAAAAAGCATGAA